CTACCCTCGATGAACTGGATTTACTCCTCGATTGAGTATTCGAGAGGAAGATAGTTAAAGATATAACCGGGATCGACGAACATTTCATTAAGTGGATTAAAGCAAAACCAAGTCTTCATCTCATTGAATTAAACTCATATAGGTTGTTTATCTTAGTGTTGTTAAAACAAACAAATCTAAACCCCCCTTTGTTACTACTTTTATAAAAGAAAAGTATTCCTTTCCCTGTGGATACGAACCTTACTACACTATACTACGTATTAGTGTTGTATTGATTAATTATTTTGAGTGCACCTAACGACAAGTGCACGTCAAATTTGGCGCCGTTGCCGGGGAAAGGCAATTAATTTTTCTTTTATTTCATATCAAGAAAAATCAAAAAAATATTAAAAAAAAATATATATAAAGAGTTCTTATTTCTTCTATTTCTGAGCTTAGTGGAGTTTATGGTTAAACATCGCTCCATAAACAAAATCACATATCAAACAAACCCAGAAATAGAACAAACTTTCGAGCGGTTGAAAAGTAAATTTTCTAATACCGACTCGGAGGAATCATCTATCAGAGATTCATCCAGCGCTAGTTCTCATTCTAGCGAGACCGAAGAGTCAATAACCATGGCTCTTGAGACAAGAACACTACGGGAGCTCACTGCTCCAAATCTCAATCAACAATCATTATGTATTACCTTCCCTACACTCGATGAAGGTAATACATTTGAGCTAAAATCTGGGCTCATACATCTACTGCCATCCTTTCATGGCCTAAGAGGAGAAGATCCGAACAAACACCTTTCTGAGTTCCATATTGTGTGCACAAGCATGTGCCCCAGTGGTGTCTCGGAAGAACAAATCAAATTGAGGGCTTTTCCATTCTCCCTCAAAGACACTGCAAAGGATTGGCTATTCTATCTTCCTTCGGGAAGTATAGACACATGGGCAGCAATGAAAAAATGCTTCTTGGATAGGTACTATCCCGCCTCAATCTCATCTTCTTTAAAAAAACAAATAAGCAACATTGAGCAAAAAGAAGATGAAACATTGTATGAATATTGGGAGCGCTTCAAAGAGTTGTGTGCTAGTTGCCCATATCATGGGTACACCGAGCAAGACCTCATCCTCTATTTTTATGATGGTCTTGCGGATCAAGATAGGTGCATGGTGAATGCGGCTTGTGGTGGGGGAATTGTTAACAAAACCCCTTCTCAAGCAAGGAATCTCATCTCAGAATTGGCCGAGAACTCCAGACATTACAGTGGGCGATCCTCAACTCGAAGGGTTGCCGCAACAGAATCCAACACCTCGTTGGAAGGCCAAGTTGCCAGTTTGACTTCTCTTGTCAAAGAATTTCTTCTGAAACCAAACACTCAGGAGGTCAAAGCTTGTGGCATTTGCACAGCAACCGAGCACCCCACTGATTCGTGCCCATCCCTCCAAGAAGAACAAGTCAACGCCTTGGGTTTCCAAGGCCATCAACAGAAGAGGTATGATCCATTCTCAAATTCTTACAACCCTGGATTGCGGGATCATCCTAACTTGAGGTATGGAAACCCTCAACAATCCAACTCATCTTCTCAATCTGGTATGTCAACTGATGACATGATCCGGACTTTGACCTCAAGCATGGTTACCATGCAACAAAACATGGGACAATTTCAACAAACCATGATACAATTTCAACATGAGACAAAGTCAAGCATTAACAATTTGGAAACTCAAGTTGGTCAAATTGCAAATGCCGTGAACCGACTTGAAACAAAGGACTCGAGTAAACTCCCATCCCAAACGGAGCAAAACCCGAGACAACATGTGAATGCCATCATGTTGAGTAGTGAGGCAACATGGAAGGAGGTAGATCAAGAGGAGGACCCTGAAGAAGAAATTCAACCTGAGGAGGGGGTCACGACAGCCAAGCTCCCCCCACCGTCATCATATGAACAAGTAGCCCCGTTCCCTGAGGCACTGAGAGAGACAAAGAAACCGGAGAAAGATTCTGACATCTATGAGACTTTCGCCAAGTGTGAGGTAAACATTCCGCTCCTTAACTCAATGAAAAGTGTTCCTCGTTTTGCTAAATTTTTAAAAGAATTATGCAAAACAAAAAGGAAAAATAAATTGAAAGAGAAACAAGAGGTTATGGTTAGTGAACATGTCTCAGCTATTTTCCAAAATAAACTCCCCGAAAAATGTAGCGACCCAGGCATGTTCACTATTCCTTGCACGATAGGGGGCACCACATTTCTTAGGGCCTTGTTGGATTTAGGGGCATCAATAAATGTCATTCCTCATTCCGTTTATAAATCCCTACAACTTGGCCTACTACATCAAACCGGTGTAGTAATTAAACTAGCGGATCATTCTAGCACTTACCCGAAGGGTATGATAGAAGATGTGCTAGTAGAAGTGGAAAATATGGTCTTCCCTGTCGACTTCTATGTCCTCGAAATGGGAAATGATGACCAAACAACACCCATCCTTTTGGGTAGACCCTTCTTGAAGACCGCAAAAACTAAAATCGACGTGTCTAGTGGTTCATTAACTTTAGAGTTCAATGACCAAAAAGTAGGGTTCAATATATTTGACTCTACGAAAAAACAAATTAAAGATCAATCTCTTTGCTCTTTAAGTGTTGTTGAACCACAAGAACCATTTTTTTGAAGAAATTTGATAAAATCTTTCAAGAAGAGGAGAAAATTGAGCATAGGGAGTCATCGGTGGTTGGAACAAAGTCATTGAGATGCAAACTTAAACCACCTGCACTTGAGATGTTGATGAGAAAGAAACCCCGGCCTTACTGGAAAAGGCCGAAGAATAAATTTGAAAAATGGCTAAATAAGGCCACAAAAAATGAATCAAGGGATGTTCACGATCCCGCTTAAAAACAAAACCAAAAAAAAATGAATAACGTCGTGCCACGACGTTAACTAAGGCGCTTCTTGGGAGGCAACCCAAGTTTATTTTATTTTTTTTCAAGTGTGTATAATTCATTTTTTGTCTAATTATTTGAGAGATTAGTGAGAGAGGGCACTAATCACGGTTTTTTTTTGGAGGAAAAGAAAGAAAAAAAATGCAGGTTTTGGAGTATCTGGGGACATACCCGATCGAGTACAACCTGATACTCGGTCGGGTATGACCAAAAGAAAAGGGAACCGGGCACTACTCGATCGAGGAAGCATTCAAAAATTGAAAAACAAGGGATATCCGATCGGGTATCACTATACACCCGGTCGGGTATGTATAGAAATGCTAAAGTTCAAGGAGACTGACTCCCACACTCGACCGAGTACACGCCTCAAAAGTAGAGCACATACCCGATCGGGTATGGAAGAATACTCGACCGGGTACCGGAGGCATGCTGCTCACAAAGTTCAAATTCTAAGCATACTCGACCGGGTAACAACACACTACCCGATCGAGTACAGGAGGCATGCTGCTCAAAAAGGCCACTTTCCAGACATACCCGACCGAGTATCAGCACATACTCGATCGGGTATACGGGTATTATAACCCCAAATCAGCCCCAAACACTTCATCTTCCCCAAAATCCTCAACCCCAATTCGAACAAAACGCCCCCAACCCCCATTTTTACACATTCTCCCTACCATATCTCCCCCATTTCTTCACCAAATCATCCCATTTCAACACCAAAACACTCCCCTCATCCTCCTCTACACACTCATACTCACCAATCCCATTCTCCCCCAAATTTCAGAGGTCCGAAAAACCCTACCCCCCCACCTTCAAATTTCGGATTTCAAGGCCAAATTCACTCCAAAATGGCTCCAAGGAAAGAGAAAGGACAAAGCTCAAGCACAAGGGCATCCATCCCGGGCTACGAGGACATCCTCTTCATGGACAACGAACACCGCACCCGCTTCGTGTCCACAATTGAAAGGCAAGTTAAACCTTCTCGCTTTTTATGTCATGATGCCCTAAAGGAATTAGGAGTGTACAAAATGATGAAGAAAATTTTTCATGAGTTGAGCATGGACAAAATTTTCAAAATGCAATATCACTCAAATGAAAAAATTATCTATGAATTCCTAAGCTCTGTGCACTTTGAGAACAATGAAGAGGATTTTAGGGATGATAAACTCAGGTTTCGATTGTTTAACCACAACCACACCATCACGAAACTTGAGTTCGCCGAACACTTTGGTATTCCGGTCCCGTACCAAAAATCTATATCCGACAATACCGCCTTCGGCCATACCCTATGGACAAAGATGACCGGGGAGACTAAATTTAGCTCCTCCCAACTCTATATTAGTCATGTCCAACATCCCGTCCTCCGCTTATTTTTGAAATTCCTCGCCAACTCCTTACTTGGACGTCCCAACAACCATCACACCAGGATGGGGGATGTGTGCCTGATATCGGTAGCCCTATTCCGTATCCACGTAGATTTCAACCTATGTAATCTTATGTGGGCACATCTAAAGAAAGAAAGCGTGGCAAAGGGTGCTATTGTAGTGGGCGGGGTGATTATGCACTTGGCCACAAAGTTCGGTGTGACACCCTAAAAAAACATTAATAAAATAAAAATGAAATAACATGTGAATTTATTATACGGATCATATTACATTAACGCACACTTCTATTGCATGATTTCTAACGTAACCTTCTTTGAGTAAGTTTAGTGCTTCGGGGACGAAGCATCCTTTTAAGGGAGGTAGAATGTGACAATCCAATTTTTTTAAAAAAATAAATAAAAGTAATTTCGGTAATCAGATAAAAAAATTGAATATGTGATAATCATGATATTTTCATGTCACATGAAACTTTGACATTAATAAATAAAAAGTTACATTTTTAGAAGTACACCCTTTATTAAAGGATATATACTACGTAGTTATACTACTACTCCGTATATGGACTAACTAAATATGAATAGTAATATAAAAGGGCTGACAGGCCCTATATTTAACCTACCTAACAAAATGAGGGTCGACTCTTGTGGGATATAAAGGTTGGCATACATACAGGCGCATGTGGCCAAAGAAGAATCGAGAATAGAGGGATCCGTAGTGTATATAACCTTAAAAGAAATTCAATACGGGAGAAATTGTAACAGCTGAACCTAGAACCTTCTATCACGTGTATAAATAGCTGTCATCAACCATTCAACCTATGCTGCATCTCTACTGCTATACACCATACGAAGGAGCTTGTTGCACCAGAAGACCGTCGGAGAAGAAGCCAACTCGCCGCACCATCAACGTCGACATCGGAGAGCCACAACTGAACTTCGCAGCTGCTCGTTCGTGTCAACTAGGCACCTGTTACGCCGCTGTGACACTTGGACGTCATCCCCGGAAGAAAGGACCGCTGAGGCGCTGAGTTTTGCACGCCGGAGAAGACAAATCGTTGCCGCCGGCCCAAACTGCTGCTGCACGAACTGGAGGAAAAGGTATCCGCCGGAGTAGCCACCAAAAAAAAAATGTTGTCGAACGACCGCAGTTAACGATGGAGCTACGTTGCCGTCCTCTTACCTTGCGTCACCGGTATTGCTGAGCGCTGAAGAAGACGACTCTTCAACGTACGTAACTAATACCGTTCTCCGTAATGTGTTTAGCATTTTTCGGCTGGAGGTGATATGGCTCGGCCGAACTAATAATAATAATAATAATAATAATAAAAAGAGAACCCAATTTCTTTAACTGGGCTGTATTCGAGTTTTAGCTTAATGAGTTTAATCGGCTGGACTGGCCTGAATAAACGAATCACTCAACAGAACTAAAACATAAGTGTAAGATTATTATTATGGATGATTATTGAGATTAATTATCATGGAAACAATTAAATCATAAGGGGGAAATCATAAATAAGAGTAGAGGAAAACTATAGTTTGGATAGATATTGACTTTAGTATTTTAATAGAAGGTGAATTGATTAAGGAGCAAGGTAGAAGAATTGCTAGAGTACTTGGAGTTTGAGGTAAGTTTCACGTCAACCAACATTATATTTTTTCCTCGTAAATCATTTTTGAAATTATTTGAGTACTTTCTGAGATTCTAGTATTTACATTTGAGTATTTGGAATTTCTTATGGATTGTTATTGAGAATTATATTTGAGATTTGGAGTATTGGATATTGGATGATATTTTTGAGTATTTGAGATATCTTATGAATTTTTATTGGGATTATATTTATAAAGTATTTGGCTCTTTTGTGAAAATTTATTGTATGATGAATTCGAGTGTAGTTTGTGGAGTTAATATTTTACATTTTGGATGATTTTGTGGAGTTTGGATTTCATATCCGTTTTGATCGAGATTGAATTATGATTTTGTGAGCACCCGGAGAAATCCGTGGTGTCGGTTTGCCACATCCAGATAAATGTGGAATATTTGGTGAGTGGTAATGGCTATAAGTCTAAATCCACCAGGGGTACTTCCCAAAAGCGGAGTATCCCAGCTTAATTGTAGTGTAGTTGGTAGAAAAATCCCGACTACTCGGGCTTCTTACTACCCGGAGGGCTTGGAATCCCTTTTAGGGGGTGTGCACACTTAAGGTAAGAGTTCGGCTTCCACTGGACTTGGTTTGACTGGAACTTGATTGGATTGAGGTGATTCCGATTATTTGATTGACTTGATTTGGACTTGAGGTGAATATTTTTTGATTGGATTTGTGGTGGAATTGAATTATTGAATTGATTGGAATTGTTGGATTATTGGATTGGATTATATTTGGATTGAATTTGAGTTGGATTGAGTTATTAAGTATTGTGGGTTTTTTTTAGAATATACATACTTTTGGATTTGATTTGATTGTGTTGAATATCGTTTATAATTATTTATATGTAGTTTGAGATGAATATTTGATGTTGAAATATTATGTTTTTGAAATATGAACTTATATTTGAAATGTTGATATTTTGCACATTATTGTGTTATAAGAATATTTTATAAATGTTGTTTTACTTATGATTTATAAATTATTTTTAAAATATATTTTACGAAATGTTTTACAAATATACATATATTATTAATTTTTTTTATTTTTTTGAGGTTAGGTGGAACTTACTTAGCATTGTTGCTAATGTTTGTTTCTTTTATTTTTTTCTGTACTTGATTGTGTACAGGTGTTGAGTTGATCTCGTTGAAGTTGATTTCGAGAGAGCTTCCGCTAGAACATCAAATTAGTAAATAATTATAGTTACATTTTTCCGCATCTTAAATTAGTGAACATTTATTTTAAAAGTTTAATTTATTTTTAGTTTAAGTTGTTTTAGCCTGTGCACTCGGTTAAGGGAGAATCGAGTGTGGCGGTAACGCCCCTATTTCCTTTTTGATTTTCCGCTGCACAATTTTGATGTTTTCAAATAAAGTTAATAAATAATGTTTTATTTAAAGGTATTTTGGGTGGGAAACTTGGGGGTGTTACATTCGGGTATATGGATAACTCTCCTATACTCGACTACCGTTTGATGAACATTGCTTGGCTGGGCCACTCGGGTTGTACATCTTTTTCACACACCGTTTATGGTGAAGAAGGGCCCAGAAATATGTACAACTGGCACATCCACCCCAAACCCCTCAAATACTTCCTCCTTCCCAACCCAGAACTCCCCCAACTCCACTACAAAACAGGAAGAGTGGAGCAACATTACCTCTTCCCACACGCCCTTCCACCACATCTCCAGGAACCCGAACAAGAACCTCCCCGACACCAACCCGATTACGAGCCCTTTGCTCAACTCCATAGCCAACACAACATGGGCCAGGACATCCCAGAACAGAGCCAAAACCCTCCACCACCCGACTTCTTTCAACAACTTCTGGAGGGTCAACAACTGCTTACGGGAATAGCCCAAATGGACAACCGGCTCAACCGATTAGAGGAGGAGCAAAGAGCCGTTTTTCAACGATTGGAGGATGAGCAAAGAGCCGGCTTTCAACGATTGGAGGAGCTCCGGGAGGCCGATAGACATCGGTATGAGGAAGACCAACATAGGTTCTACGGACCTATGTACTCTTATATGGCACAACAGGGATCCTTCCATACCATGGCGAACCCCCCTCCACCACCCTCATGGTATGACCCCACTCATTGGGGTAACTTTGGAGGATCAGGCTCCGGGGGTGGAGGGTACGACGGCGGAGATGGCGGGGACACCTACATGGGAGATGGTGGCCAAGGGAGCAGCTTTGGAGGGAGCTACTACGGAGGAGAAGGCGGGCACTAGGGACAGTGCTTGATTCAAGTGCGGGGGAGACACTCATGATGGTATGTAATTTTCATTCCTACCTAGCACTATGCATGTAATTCTTTTGAATATTTTCACAAAAAAAAAAGAATAAATAAACAAAATAAAACAAATGCTAGTTAGGTTGAAAACCCAACAAAATGGGCAATCTAAGCAAAAAAGGCTTATAAAAAAATGAGTGAGTCGGAGAGAATGGAAAATGAAAAGAGGTGCTAGGATGAAAACCTGAAAAGGCTCCTAGGCAAAATGAGAGATATGAGAGAAATGTTTGTTCTTGCAGGCACTCATTATATCCTTGTGAAGAATAAGAAGATTCAAGATAAAGAAGAAGAGAGGAGGAGAAAAGAAGATAACACTAGGAGGCCATAAAACCCAAGATGCTCTTTTGTAATTTGAGTTTAAAACTCATTTTTATTTGTCATCCTTGGTGGTCTTTGTGTTTGTATTGTGTTTTTGTTGAACTGTGGAACTTTTGGACAAACATTGACACTTGTAAACATTTGATCTTACTCGAGACGAGTAAAGGTTTAAGTGTAGGGGAGTTGATACGTTCGTAATTTCCATATCTATGTTTATGTTTTTAATTAGTTTTGCTTGACTGTTACTTTGGAAATTACACACTTTTGGTGTAAATAGATTAGATTGTTAAATTCTTGTAAATAGGTTAGATTATATATATTCTGAGCTCAAGCAGGTTTTGGTCACTCGAATACAGTTGGTGAACCCAAAAAGTGAAAAGAAGGTGCAAAAGTTCAAAGACAAAAGAAGATCCTGAATTTTGGTCTATACTCGGTCGAGTATTAGCTATACTCGATCGGGTATTAGGTTGGAACTTCAAATCGGATCAGATCCGAACACAAGGGAACATGCAGGGAAGATTTCGGCCACGATTTTATGTCTATACCCGATCGGGTAGACCGACATACCCGATCGGGTATGCCTTTGAATTGCAAACGAAGATCGGTCGAGTATGGTCCGAATACCATTTTCTAAGCATACTCGACTGGGTATTCATATATACTCGATCGGGTATACTCTTAGAAAATATCCTGAAACCGGTCGAGTATGCCTCGGATCGAGTGTTACACACGTACTCGATCGGGTACCATGTATATACCCGATCGAGTACCCGAACCCCATCCCAAAAACCTATAAATACACCTCCTTTCCTTCACAAAAAGGATCCAATTCCTTTGTACATCTAAGCTCAGTATAGAATAGTTCTTTCTCTATATTTTTCATCATGTTTAGTCTCCAAATGAGGAGCTAAACTCTTCCATCTTGGTTTTGCTACTTTGAAGCTTAATGAATTTGTAAGTTGTGAGTTATTTTCTTTAATCTTCTTCCTTGAATATTAATTCTTTCTTTCAAAATACTATCTCTATATCAAAGTTGGGGAGTGTTACTAAAATGACAATTAGTTAACATCTTGACATTGGTTATAGTAATAGCTATTTCTTCCTCTATGATAATATTGGGGAGTGTTAGGGGTAAGCCTAAAGGCTACCCAAGTGGGTTGATTCTAGGCATAGGATTTGCTTGAGAATTGGACTACGAAAATGAATTAGAGTCGGACTCTAGGATTGCATGGAAATGTAGTTGGGCCGAGCCCTTGCCATGTAATGTGGTTAGCATGGAAACGTAGTTGGGCCGAGCCCTTGCCATGTATTTGTGATCTTCGTGGAAACGTAGTTGGGCCGACCCCTGGCCACGAAGTTGTGGTTAGTATGGAAACGTAGTTGGGCCGAGCCCTTGCCATACAATTTAAATGTGTTAAGTTGAGTTGAAGGGTTGTATAGAAATGTAGTTGGGCCGAGCCCTTGCTATACAATCGGGACTCGAGGGGACCCTATGGGGTTGGCGTGACTAGTAGTCACGGGGAATTAAAATGGTGAATTCTAAATGAATATGTGCCCACGGGCCGATTACTTGACTTTATATAAAGTAAGTACATTTTGAAAAAGGGATAACCGAGGGTTATGGCCTATAATATAATATCACCCTAGATTGAGGGTCTTTGGAATTGAAATATTGATTATACTTAGTATAGTTGTCATTGTACTTGTCAAATGCTTCCAAGTACTGACCTCCCCTTCACAGGGGAGGCCACCTCACAGTTTCAGGTAGGAGCTGAGCTTGCTACCATTGTCTGTGGCTTCGGGGAGAGACTAGGAGAGGAGACGTGGTTCGTGCTTCCTCCGTTTCTGTTTCAAAACAAATATAACAATGCTCATGGATATATTTTTGAATAATTATTTGGGGGCTTGTATGCCCATGTTTGCCAAAGTGTGGCATAAACTCTTATATTAAATGTTTCCGCTGCTTTAAATAAATGTTTTACATTATGTTTATTTATGGATGTACTATGTGTGAATGGTATTCAAGACGCCTTGTATATTATGGATGAGTTGGACTGCGGTTGACTATTCGTACTGTACGGCGGGTTGTTGACGTGTCCGGCTAGGTCTGGGGCGTGACACTCTATGACAGTTCGCGATCTCTCAAATAAATTCTGTATGCTTTTGACTGTGTGGAGTAGCCAATAAACACACCTTCCCGGGCTTTGGGGTCAAGTTTGCTCCTTTCATTTAGCACAAAACACTTGCAGCCAAACACTTTGAAGAAAGAGATATTTGGGGTTCTGTTGAAAAGGATCTCATAGGGGGTCTTCTCGAAACGTTTGTGAATGGACGTTCTGTTTTGAGTGAAGCACGTTGTATTGATGCCTTCAACCCACATAAAGTGAGGGAGCTTTGACTGGATCAGCATTGTGCGTGCTGCTTCAACAAGTGTTCTATTCTTCCTTTCAACGACCCCATTTTGTTGTGGAGTCTTGGCTGTAGAGTACTGTTGTGTGATACCCTGAGATTCATAGAATTCAGTGAGAACTTAATTTTTGAACTCGGTACCATTGTCCGTTCGGGTTATCCTCACTCTTCTGAAGTAAGTTCTGGATGGTTCTGATGAAGGTCATGATGGTGGCGGCAGCTTCATCTTTAGTCTTCAAGAATTTTGTCCACGTGTACCTAGAGAAATCATCAACGATAACAAGTGTGTACTTGCGACCATTGATGCTTTGGACTCTCATAGGTCCACACAGATCCATGTGAATTAGTTGCAGCGGATGAGTGGATGATGGCACGAGTTTGGACTTGTGAGAGCTTGGTGTCATTTTTCCCATTTTGCAGGCATTACAATGATTTTCAGCGGACGCTTTCAACAGAGGAAGCCCTTTTACAAGCTTCTTGGATGACAAAATGGATATGTTCTTGAAGTTCAGGTGGGATAGACGTCGATGCCATAGACTGTTCTGTTCCGTTGAAGCGTTGGACAACAGACAGATGGAAGTGGTGGATTGTACACTTTTCAGATCAATCGTGTACGGGTTTGATGCCCTGTTACACGTTAAAAATGAGTTCCCAAAGCTGTCCCACACACAACATTGTTTGGCAATGAACCTCACTTCCATCCCACTGTCACAGAATTGTCCTATGCTTAGCAAGTTATGCTTGAGCCCTTTTGTAACACCCCCAAATTTCCCACCCAAAAATACCTTTAAATAAAACATTATTTATTAACTTTATTTGAAAACATCAGAATTGTGCAGCGGAAATTCAAAAGGGAAATAGGCGTGCTACCGCCACACTCGGTTCTCTCTTAACCGAGTGCACAGGCTAAAACAACTTAAACTTCAAAATCAAATGTTCACTTTGAAATTTATTGAAAAGAAATTTACAATGATTTACTAATAATGTTTTCTAGCGAAAGCTCTCCCTCGAAATCAACTTCAACATCGATCAACTCAACACCTGTACAAAAATCATGTACAGAGAGAAAAATAAAAGAAACAAACATTAGCAATAATGCTAAGTAAGTCCCACCTTTTAAAATAATAATAATAGTATATATATATATATATATATATATATATATATATATATATTGATCCCTTTTTTCTATAACAACAGTATAATATGGCATACAGATGAAAGATTAACAATAAAGATGAACACAGAAAGATCAAGTGTAAACCTTCTCTGATATACCGTGAATCTTTCGTACAAGAATGATAAGCGCTAAGGCTATTTTGAGCAGATACGAAAGTTAACCGCAAACCTGAGTCCTCCTCCCTCTTTTATAGGCGAGGCTCAGGTATGCGTAAAAAGGCTTCTCGCCTGAGTATGGGCCTAACACTTGGCCCATATTGAATACTATTCTAACAGATATATTTAATCAGTACAGAATAGAAATAGTAAACATCTAACTTATTACAGACAAAACAGACAAACTTGATTCACAATAAAATAGTCTTCAACAATCTCCCCCTTTGTGATCAAGTGTCGTCTTGCATTTATTTTTGAGATCTGAAGTAATGCTTTCTTAAATTTAGCGCATGCTCATACTGTCTCAGCATTCTTCTCTTTTCAAGTTGCTCGTTGATGGGCTTTAGGATGGTCCACACCTTCTCGTATACTAGGAGCTCTTCCTCGCTGGCGTCCGCAAGTCTTGGATCTATATTCTCTTTGATCTCTTGTAGCTTGGTCTGGATGATCTTCAGAGTCCCATCACAATATTTGTGAATGTCTTCTACCCACATGAGTCTTTTCTGTTCCTCGTGATTGAGATATATGATAGAGACTGGGTCCTTGAAGATATGATATGGTCTGTATTTTTTGAGCTCTGGACCATTCAGAGTTGGCTTTACCAGATTTGCTTTTCGGACATTGTTTTCCAGGGCCATCTGTAGATCATGGGCAGCATAGAATCTGATCTGTCTCAGCATAAACCTTTTGATCGCCTCATAGCCTTCTTCGTGTGTCCTGTTTCGACTCAGTGGGAGATACCTACTTACCATGAACATTTGGTAGATATCCTCCATCTTCATCATTATAAAGTCGTTTTCCTTGGCAGATGAAAATGCTGGAGTCTGTCCGTCGAACTTTGAAGCTGTAGAACGGGATGGTGTGATGATCTTCTCTGTGTATATCAAGGATAGCGTCAATAGGATGGATGCTGGACTTCATATCTCTTTCCAGTACTTGACGTTGTTTTCCAGATGATCTGTGCATCAGCATGTGAAGATGTCCGCCAGCCAGTTTTCCCTTGAGGTGAGTCAAACCACGGATCTTTAGTTCATCTAGCTGTTTGAGCTTGTCTGCGGTTCTCCAAATTCCCTTTCTGATTTCCTCTTGGAAGGGGGCATTTATTCTGATGTTTTCCCAGAGCTTTTCTTTTGGGGGCAACTTGCTAGCCGTTTGTCTGATGACGGATTCTAGCTCCCTGGGTATCTTTTTGTAGTCCTCCCCTTCTTTGAGTTCCTCTTCATCAAGGCGTATGATGTCTTCTGCGCATTTGGCCAGTAACTCTCTCAGCCACCAATTTCGCTGCATATCCTCTGTCTCAGCTTCGCATCTAAGATCATCCCACTCTGTCCACTTTCTCAGCCAAACGTCATGTACCACAGCATCCTCGAGTGCATCGTGAATATCTTTGCCTTGGGAATGTAAGGGACTCTCAGCTGTGGTGATTTTTCTCGTGAAGC